AATAATAAAGACGATTGAGAAAAAATATTAAACACAAGCCATATCCACAATTATTCAAATCCTAAAACATAGTATAATCTTAAGAACTACCTCATAATTTCAAACTCTCAATTAAACACTCCGTTGTCTGGCGGTATAAGCTGTCTGTTCTATACAATAAGTCGCGTCTTCAAATCTATACCAATACACCACATTTTTGTGAATTATTAAAATTAGTATATTTACAATATGGATATGGATCACAATTCGCAAAAATAGACGATCTGCGTCAATGCAACATATCTCCAAATCATCTGTACTTGACACAACGATGTTTAGTTTAACCAATACATCGCTAGGTGAAGAAATGCACGAACAAATAGGAGAACTGACTAACAAACTATTATCCGCCAATAACGAAATTGATAACTTGCACGGTGAAATGAAACAGTTAAAAGATGATCTGCGAAAATGCTACGACGTAATAAACATGTATATAAAGATAGCATGCACCGAAATTAGACCTACTTCTGTAAGGAAATTGAAGACTAGAAATACACAACAACTGTCTTCATCAATCACATCTTCTCCTAAAAGCAAAAATTTATTTACCTGTCAAGAAGATCTAGGAAATAAAACACAAAATAGCCAAACGCCTTTACCATGTTACAGCGATAAAAGTTTAGACCGAAAAGGTAGTATAAACACAATTCGAAATGAAAATACAGTAAATACATCCCCAGACACTAGGTCCAATCCGGACGAAGCGAGAAAGATACGTAATGTTGTTATACTTGCAGATCAACAAGGACGGTATGTTTGTCAAATCTTGCAAAGACTTTTAGGTACTTCATTTAAAGTTACCTGTTACTTTAAGCCTAGGGAGCTAAAATTAACAACGTTATTCAACTCAATACGTCTCTATCTGAACTGACTATAAATGACATTGTGGTATTAATTGGTGGTATAAACGATACTGACCCCTATCAGTTTGAAGTTGCTTTTGGGAACTGTTTACAAACATTAACAAAACCAAAGGTTAAAGTGTTGGAAATACCCTATAACAGGAGTTTGAATGAAAATAAATTAAACTACTTAGTCAGATATATTTGTAAAAGACACCCGAACGTATAATTTATTGATATGTATTACAGTAGGCAAGTACCCTTTAGAAAACATTATACCGTAAATCTTTGTAAAACATTGTTAAAAGAAGTATTACATTTAGATTATAAACTGAACTTTAAATTATATTATAATGATGTTGCTCACAAATCCTTACCAATTAATACACAAAATAAACACACCCAAACTGATGTAATCTATTGTAATAGTCAATTAAAAAAAGACGTAATAAATAATTGTACTCAGACTGACTTGGTAATTAATGCAAATAAGTTAGGTAATGATGATAATGTGTGCATGGCTGTATACAATAATGCAAACAATAACTCTAATTTTAACACTCAAAATAGCACTAACCTTTTTCTCGTATAATTATTTATTAATTTTACACCAAAATGTAAATAAATCGGACTTGTTAGCCTACCATTTAAATGAGCTATCACAAAATGGTAAAAATATAGATATAAACTGCATTACAGAGCATAACATGAAAAATGGTGATGATAAACATTTGAACATAGCTAATTTCCAAATGGCAACATACGCCAACAGAAATAACAGCAGAAGGGGGTCATGTGTTTTAATAAATAACAAATTGAAATACAAAATGGTCGAATTACATCAATCCCTAACATTGTGGAGTGTTGTGGTGTGGAATTAATAGAACACGGTATAATTATTGTCTCTTTATATAGATCTCCGAAAGAAAGCATAGACGCCGTATCTACTTTTTTCTATAACTTTGAAGGTGTGTTACAAAAATTTTGTAGTAATAAAAAAAACTTATAATATGTGGGGATTTTAACATAGATATTTTACAAAGTTCACGGCTTTCTACAGAATTAGAAAATAAATTGTTAAATTTTAACTTACAGCCGAGTATTTGCGAGCCTACACGTTTAAAAGTGGCAAGTGTATTGATAATATAATTCATAATATAAGAGGCAGTAAAGGTGAAGTGATAGATCTGGGAATATCAGATCATACTGCTCAAGTCTGAAAATGTCCTGTTAACAAAACATACACTATCTCTCATTGATTCACGTTAAAACGGGATTACAGCATAGAAAACTTAAATAAATTTAAAAATGCCATCAGAAGTCTCAGTTTAATAGTGTTTATGAATGTCTTGATCCTAATGAAGCATTTAATAAATTCAATGAACTATTTAAACTATTTAACGATCTTTGCTTTCCGACACTTAAAATTAAAATTCTTATAAATAGAAAACTTACTTGGGTTACTAATGTTATTAAATTGTATTGTAAATGTAAACGAGAAATGCTATGGCATTCTCGACTACACCCTACTAAGGAAAATAAGAGAAAGCTTAAAGTTTATAGTAAACGAACGTTAATAAATACATATATGATCCCGAAAAAATTGCTGAGGAATTTAATAATTATTTTATCAATGATGTTCAGCCCATAAACCAATTTAGTAATAGTCACCAAAGTTACACATCCATAAGTAGTAGACTGAACTCAATGTTTATGCCTGCATGTATTCCTCACGATTTATATAAAATAATTAATAAATTAAAAAATACTAACAGTGCTGGTAATGATGATATAATTACAAAAGTAGTTAAGTTAGTGGCCGTTGAAATTTCCCCAGTTCTAAGTTACGTGAATATGAAAATGAATAATATAGAAAATGGTATTTTTCCTAGTGGTTTAAAAAGATCCGTTATAAATCCTTTATATAAAAAGGAGGACAGAAATGACCCTAAAAACTACAGGCCTGTCGATTTTCTTCCAACATTCTCCAAAATAATAGAAAAAGTAATATATAAAAACTTATATTCTTATTTGGAAGTTAATAACATCTTAGCAAACGAACAATTTGGTTTTAGAAAATGTAAAAACATAAATATGGCCGTGTATGGATTTATTGAAAAAGTGATCACCGGTATGGATAATCGTACACCAACAACCGCCTTGTTATGGACATGACCAAGGCGTTTGATTATGTTGATTTAAATATCTTAGCGCTTAAACTGGAAAAATATGGAATCAGAGGTAATGTGTTAAATCTTATTATTTCATACCTGAATGATAGGACACAAATTACAATTTTAAAAAAGATCTATCCTTGTACTAATATTAAAATAATACCTCTCGCAACAAAAACAAACAACCTACGGTGTGCCGCAAAGAAGCGTACTCGGTCCATTACTATTCCTAAGATATATCAATGATTTGCCCCAGGTGACTCAGCACCCTATGACCTTATTTGCTGATGACAGCACGACGAGACAAGGTCTCAATTGAATCGGACATAACTCAGAATTTATACAGGATAATAGACTAGCTGAATGACAATAATCTTAAAATTAATTTGGATAAAACGCATATTATGTCATTCAAACAAAGAAAAAAAAACCAAAACTTAGTATTAACTGTAAAACTAAAATCATAAACGAAAAAGAACACACAAAATTTCTGGGAATTTGGCTGAACGAAAAAATGATATGGAGTAAAAATATTGAATACATAATAAAAAAGATAAATCAATTCCACTATGCACTACATAACCTTATAAAAATTACAAATCGTGAAACATTCATAACCGCCTACCATGCATACGTCTCTTCAACACTGAGATATGGTATAATATTTTGGGGAAATTCTCCAAAAGGCGAACTAGTATTTAAAGCGCAAAAAGAAATGTTTACGAGCAGTATGTCAGTTGCAGGTTACCGATAGTTGCAAACCGCATTTCATTAATCTTAACATTCTGACCCTATCATCTTTATATATATTTGAAGTAGCTATGTTTGTATGGAAACATTTTAGCATATTTGAAAACGCTAATAATACCATAACGACATAGGAATAAATTACGCACAAAACCTCATAAAACAGCCCTGTATTCAAAAAGTTTCCAGGGTATGGCTCCTAAAATTTTTAATAAACTCCCAAAAAATATCAAAGAAACTGATAATATAGACAAATTTAAGAAATTGCTTTCGAGTTTTTTAATATATAAAGCATACTACTCTATCAACGAATACTTTGAAGATAAAATGAATGGTTTTTAGTACCTACAATAATTAATGGTCGATTTATTTATTATATGTTTATGGTTGCGCGGAAAACCATTCGTAATTTTATTTTATTCGACGGTATGCTTGCCAAGATCTGTCCTTCGTTCGACCTTTCCTTCACCTGTTGTCCCTTTCGACACACCGGGGTGGTGGGGTGAGAGGGGAAAGAAGATAGTTGTCACGTGAATGTCACGTGATCTTCCCAACCGAACTAATATAAAGGCGCGCGCGGCCAACGCGCGCCCTCTTCCATCGCATCACCGGACTGGAACGCATCTCTGGGGCCACAGGAGATCCGCCAGAAGTCGCACCGCAGCAACAAAGCGCCCAAGCCGCATCGAAGCAACACCCCGGTGAGTAACTTCCAGTTATAAGCCCGCTTGACATAATCGTATTTATTAGTTAATCCGCTCCAATTTGATTTTCTCCTAGCGTGATCAAGCGGGGTTCTTTCATAGATTTTGGCAAGCAATAGTTCGTTTAGGGAAGAGCGAGTGCATTTTCAGGAAAACCGCATGCTATAGTCGCATTTTGTGGAGACGAAAGAAGCCAAAAGAATTATTGCATGTTCAACCACTTTTGTGACCCTACAGATATAAGTGACAACAATTACACACACATCCACAGATCCACCGGTGGCGCACTATTACCAGCCTCACATCTGCAATGCAATGTGCATTTCACAGAATTCAATTACACAGAATACTGGGTGGCAATGGCATGAATTTGTGCGTACACTTGTAGCACTTTATAAATCGTCCATAGGTGATAGTTTAAGGCAGATTTTGTGGGATCATGGTATGAGAACACGATATCATCTTGCTACAGCTTGTCAAAATCCACTTACTTTTATCATTTCCATTAATTCGTTCCCTTCATCTGTGCTTCCATCTGAAACTAAATCAATCTCCACTGTACAATATAACCCTTTTGGTTTATACACACACAGCTCGTATGGATCTAAATGATGCAATGGCGGCATTCGGACATATTCTGTATCTGAAAAAAGTGAAGAAAATTTTATTTCACATTAACGTTTTATATTTTAGTAACGTTACAGGTTTCATTCCAGCCAACTTCCCGTTTTTGTTATTAGTTTTATACAAGAATGCTATAAAATGTTGGCTGTTTTGTTAAATTTTAAAAAGATAACACCACATTTAGTGATTCGCATTTGTGCGGAGTTGGGATGAGTTGCTATTTTTTTATTAAATCCATCGATATTATTCAGTATGTGTGTAATAAAGTGAGCTGAGGTTATAAGGAAAATAAAAAAAATATTTGTTTCTTTAAGTCAAATGAAATAAAATAGAATAGAACAAAATCATTTTGCTTCATTATAGATTACAATTACAATTAAATTACAATTGTAGGACTTTCAGAAACGAAACTAAAGTGAAAGCAAATTTAGGAAAGAACGATGACATTTTTATGTATCACAAAACAGAAATGGTGTTGGATTTCTAATTAAAAAGGAATTAGAGAGAAGTATTAAAGATTTTATACCATTGTCAGACTTAGTTGCTGGATTAGACTAAATTTTGAATGCAAAACATTAAGTAAAATACAAGTGTATGGCCCTACGGAATAATCCTTATTAGAAGATGTGAATAGATTTTACAAAGAACTCCAAAAAGCAATAAATAACACTGATGGGGACATATTGAGGATTTCAAAGCACAGATTGATATGCCAACCACTCATGACAAATCAGTCATGGTCACATGGGGATACGTTAAGACATAAAGTAACAGACATTAAGTACTTTTCTTTCGAAAATAAATTGCATATAACAAACCCATATTTTAAGAATAAATCAAATCGTAGATGAGCTTGGATACCCTCAGATGGAGTACCACGAAATTAAATCGATTACATTCTATCAGGAAATAAAACAAGCATTCAAAATATAGAAATAATTTCAACACCACATCCTACGAATCACAGATTAGTTAGGGCATCAATACTAATTAATCTTAAACGAATTTTATCAAGAAAATACTTTGAAAAGAGATCCTCGCCATTATATATCGCTTTAATAGCTACTGAAAAAGAATATTTAAAATAATTATTTACAGATAAGGTAAAACAAGTATGATTTACAAACATTGAAATAACGTATACTACTTTAGTAACGAAAATTAAAGACTGCAACAATAACCTTCCAAAGAGATGTAAAAGTACTCGTATCAATTCCGAAAAACATTGCTAGACTTGTAAAAGAAAGAACAATGCTAAACAATTTTTGAGAAGAAATAACTTTCGACCTTACACAAACTCATTATAAATCAAATGCAAAACAGACGAAAAGAGCATCAATAGGTAATCATGGAAGAAGTACTGGAAAACAGACCATCAGTTAAAAGAGCACACAAAAGTAAAGACTGTTGCAAAACTTTACACAATTGAAAAAAACTGGTTCTCAAATAACTTACAGAAAACAAATATTAGAAATAGCTACTAAATACTACACATCACTTTATGAATGCCTGGTATCTTGTAAAAAATATATATCAGGAATTAAAAAAATTAGAATGAGCTATGATATAAAACAACTAAAAACACTACAAAGTCCCGGAGAAGACCGAATTACAAATTACATACTAAAAACGATCGATGAGCCCCTTACACTGATCAATTATATTTAATCAAATCCTTGCAAAATAACTGACAGGCAAACTAGCGTCTGACCGGCAAACTGCTATAATCACTCTTCTCTACAAAAAGGGGGATACATCAGATAAAGTCAATTATAGACCAATAAACTTACATCAGACAACATATAAATTATTTACCAGCTGTTACTTAAAAGAAAGTTTACGCTTTAAGGGCAAGGAGTACATATTAAATATTATATTAAAACCCTTAAAGAAATATGCAACTGCCAGCTCGTGAAGTACCTTGAGGATCACCAGCTGATTAGTGACCGCCAATATTTTTTTCACCGTGGTCGGTCAGCTGGTGATCTTCTGGTCTACCTAACTCACAGTAGAGTCCAAGGGGGAGGCATTGGCCGTTAGTTTGGACATTGCGAAGGCCTTCGATCGGGTTTGGCACAAAGCTTCGACTCCTTCCTATGGGCTTCCCGAGAAATTGTGCGATTGGATCACCAGCTTTCTTGTAGATCGGGGCATCAAGATCGTTGTAGACGGTGCAAGCTCCAATTGCAAGCCTATTAATGCTGGTGTTCCACAAGGCTGCGTGCTATCGCCAACGCTGTTTCTTCTGCATATTGTGACGGCCAATATTATTATTAATAATTAAATTCAATATAAAGGGGGGAAGCGTTACAATTTGGTGCCGTGACCAGGATATATTTTAAAAAGAAGGTCGTCTATATAAGAATTATGAAGTAGGCGTTATGCCTACAATTTGTTGTCCGTGAAATGGAAAGGTGTCTTGGAGGATGGTGTTTACTGGGGGTGGTTGAGAGTCTGGGGGTGGGGCTTTAATATTAATATTGATTATGTTTCATAAAAGGTGTGTGCATAGTTAATACGAAAGAAAATATAAAATGAAATAAGTGAGAAGACGCAGTAACATTTGTTTAAGTGAATGACATAACAGTGTTAAAACTGAAAAAGTATATAAATTTAAAAATGGCTAAAACAAAGAAAAGTTCTAATTTAGTGAAAGCTAAACCTAAAAATGAATTTAAGATTTAAAATAATTTCTCGAAGAAAAGTTTATTAAAACGAAAGTTCACCAAATTAAAGTAAACCAACAAGAGGTGTACGGGGCGAGCACCTCACATGTCACATGAAATATTTTATATAACATACATAATGTGACAATAAGATGAAATTGGAAATGAAAATACTCATCCAGTAACATTTTATAAGATCTCACCAATTAATTAAAGGACGTTCCATCTAATGGTCTCTATATAATCGAAAGTTATGAGCAAGATTTAACTTAAATTTTTAGGAAAATTATTAATTTAAGTTTTTTATTATATTAATTCATTAAAACAAATAATGTTCATGTGTGATATTCGTAATATTTTAAATTAAATAGAGAGAATTATAAACCTGGGTCAGTACGCCTGACTCAATAACATTAATAAGTTCAAGCAGCCACTTAAACTAAATAGTAATAGCAAACATAATGTCGGACAAATTAGATAACAAGTGCGAAAGAATTTAAAAGAGGCAAGTCGCATTAGAAACACAAAATTTGATAAGCGTAATAAATTAATGAAATATCACATTGACGATTTAGTAAAAGTTTATAGATCTAGTAAATCAGATGCAGATAACAAAGTTATGAGTAAATTTAATTTGGCGTATGAGGGGCCTTATATAATAGCAGCCGTACCATTTGACAATGTACTTTAATATACTTTAGCAAACCCAGAAACAAATGAAATTAGAGAAAATTTTAATGCGATTCATTTATTAAAATATTTTAAATATTAGTTTTGGTTTATATACATACTAGAATAAATACTGTAATATAAATTGGTCTCGTGGGTGGCCGTTTGAGAAAATAAATTTAAAATTATAAAAAAATATGAGCAAGACACAAAACTATTAAAAATAAGAAAAATAATATAATAATCATATTAACGACTATCTGTAAATATTGAATGAAAGATAATTTTGTAAAATATTTTTATTTGAATAAATTTGGGGAGTTGGGTCATTGTGAATGGCTCAATCAAATTTATCCTGTGGGTGTGTAGCCATCTGTTTTCAACTCATATCCAAAATATAAAAATAACATTGCTCAACTTCAACTCATATTCAAAATATAAAAACAGCATTGCTGAATTAATATTTTAAAGATTTAAATAGTAAGTCGATAACTAAAGAGAACCACTATATTAACGACATAATATACAATAAATTTATCAAGATAACAGTTTAGGGTTTATCGCATTGAGATAGATGTGGTTGAAGGGGTGTTTGGCGGCGGCCATTCCCTGGGGTAGGTGGGATGAAAATATATACTGAATTGTAACAGATTGAAAGAGGAAAGAATCAGATACATCAATTTGTAGTGCATATGCAATTGATATAAAATTTTACTATGTTGAGAGCATATGCTCTCAATATAGTAAAATTTTATATCAACGACTCCACTGTGTGGGTCAGAATAACGAATGGGCAAACATCGATCTTTGCCCATTCGTTATTCGGTTATCTTGCGTAGCGGCCGTTGTTTGGCGCCCTAGTGAGTGGCGTCATTGCAGATAGTTCTGCCGCGTTTAAACCAATGCAGCAATATGTCACATTAGAGCATTGTCTGCCAAAGCAATTTTTCTAGAAAAAAGAATCCGGCAGAAATATTTATTTATATACCGAAAAACAGCAGTATTACGCTGGTATTCTGTGAGACCGTGGCCCCGCCCCGGCCGAGTCAACCCATTCGTGCCTCAATGTAGCTGCAATGCGACTCTACCACGTAAAGTTTGTAGTTAGATGGCATTATACCTATCTGCTTTAAATGGGAAAAAACTGAACAATCTTTTCCTTGGCATTACTCTCGATGCAAATATTCAGTGGAACCCCATATATCTAAACTAGAAAGCAGAATAAGTTCTGCAGCTTTTCCTGTAAAAATATAGGAATAATAGTATGTTACTTATAATATGATTTTAAAATTAATAATATAATGGATTTATGCAAAGAAATGCCTGATTCTCATAATTATATTTTGGGATTTTGCTATGGGGAAATGTATGGAGACCAATTATGTTTAGCAGGAAAGGGCCATAAGAACTTTTTATAACCTAAAGTTTAAGTATATCCTCTAAACTATACCGTCGTAAAAACTAAAAAAACACTTTAGTGGCTAATCTACCTGCCAAGAGTGACAACTATGGCGAATATCCCCCATAAAGTAATTTATGGAGGAGGCACATGTTAGTAGTGGACTTTTGATAGGATGTACATACTTGTAAAGGTAACTAATTGATAATGGTGGTAGTAAGCCGAAGGCCAATCAATTAAAGCTACGGAGAAAAGCTAGTACTAATTAAAAATCAGAAAAATGCAGTAAATTTGGTAGCAATTAATAAACATAAATATAAATACTTACTATTTAACCGATATATCACAGCAGAAGCGTCGCAGAAAAAGAGGAATAATATAAACAAAAATTTCATTTTTCGAATTAAAACTTCTTAAGCATTTCTTAATACATATTCAAATTAATTAACAACACATAACAAATATGTTAAAAATTGTGATATATTATGGAATTGTTTGTAATAATTTAATTTATAAAACGAATTAAAACGCACAAATGTGCCACGCGGCTGAGTTGTTGCATCCTCAGAAGATAATTAATAGAATCGAGCGTTACACTGCGGAAATCCAAAATTCAGATCTGTTAAAGATGTAATTAGAGACTGGTTTATGTATTATGACCAATAAAGATTAAATCTTATAAAGATTAAATCTTTATTGGTGGAAAAGATAAAAAAAATGGTTAAGAAACGTCGATCATTTTTTTAATAATTCTCGAATTAAGTGTGTAATTATTAAAATTAAATTAAATTATGTTTCCTCCTTTTTCTTGTAATATATTAAAATATTTTTATTAGTCGGCTTATGTATGTTACGTGATATCTTCGTCAATTGTAAACCAATTTAAATGATTATTTTTAATTAGAATAGGTTATTCTTAAGGGATGTTCTCATATAAATTGAGAGACAAAATTCCACCCTAAGGGTAGAAAATAGTGGATGAAGTTTTAGACGACATTGACAAAATGGACATTCTACTTTCTTACTTATTGCGAAAATTTTTGAAGGTTTTTAAAATATCACTTTAAATATTTTCGGAAGGAAGTTCGATATTGGCCTGGCTGACCGGTGAGTGTGGGTGGGGTGGATGACCTGGTGCTAATCACCAATGATTTCATTCATCACTTTAGTGTACGCTCTCCGCTGGGTCCTATGATCTACGCCTTTAGTGCTATGTCGGAATGTAGAGGAGAGGTATCGCTCTTGCGCGTTACTGCAAACCAATTATAAGAGGCTCTCAAGAAAATGAGCGGCGGTAAATCTCCCGGTCATGACAGCATCAGTGTGGAGCACTTGCGATATGCAGAGGTTCGCCTGCCGGGGGTTCTGTTTCTGTTCTTTTAAATGTACATACGAGGTCTGTTCAAAAAGTATCGCGAAGCTCAATCATCCCAATGGAAGCCGCCGCATGAGCCAAGACCGAAAAAAGCGCGCCAAGTTCGGTCAAACGTGAAGGTTTTGCTCACAGTTTTCTTCGATTACAGGGGCGTGGTGCATCATGAGTTCTTGCCATAGGGTAGTACGGTTAATAAGGAATATTATCTGCAAGTTATGTGCAATTTGCGCGAAGCAATCAGCCAGAAACGTCCGAATTTGTGGAAGAACAAAAACTGGCTTTTGCACCATGATAACGCCCCTGCTTATTTATCCAAAAACAACAAAGTAATGGTCCCACAGCTACCGTATTTCCCAGATCTGGCCCCCTGTAACTTTTTCTTGTTCCCAAAACTGAAGAGGCCCATGAAAGGACGACCCTATGCCACGATCGTGGAGATAAAGACGCCATCGAAGGAGGAGCTGAAGAAGATCACGAAAAATGATTTTTTTAAGTGCTTCGAGGATTGGAAAAAACGTTAGGACAAGTGCATTATATCTGAGGAGGATTACTTTGAAGGAGACAAAGTAGATATTCATGAATATATAAATACTTTTGAAAACAAAATACAAAATTCGCGATACATTTTGAAAAGACTGTGTAAGTTACTGTTATCTATCACAAGACTTAATGAAAACCATCGTCGGGGCCTTTGTTAAGGGTAGAACTTTCGATATCCTAGATACGGGGAACTATCAAACTGGTAACAAAAATTGTGAAAGCATTAAATAGTGTGCTTAAATCTGAATTGAAAAACATTCCATCATATAGGAATGACGCTCAGTTTGGCTTTCGACCTGGACTTTAGACTGAAAGCGCTATAGTAAGTTTTCACATTGACTAGTATTATACTGATCGTGGGATGCTAGTTCACGCCTGTTTACTAGATATCCCTTTTTAATCTGGCTTTTGAAATGGTGTCCTACGATGTGCTATAGAAGAAACTGGAGAATAGTGATGTACTGGAAGAAGTGCTAGAAATGCTCAATTGTCGGTATGCTAACCAAAAAAATAATTTTAAATGTGCTCATTCTTTATTGGATGACTATGAGTTAAAGTGCGAAGCGAGGCAGGGTGATTATCTTCTCCAGAGCTCTTTGACATGTACGTAGACGTTTTAATCGTGGAACTAAGTAGCATGTTCGTCGGTTGTAGGATAGATGGAATTAGCATAAGCAACATAAGTTACGCAGAGGACATGGTACTGTTCGGCCTCACCATGGGTGTCCTGGAAGTGATGTTGAATGTCTGTGAGAATTATATTGCTGTACAAAGGCTTACGTACAATGTGAAAAAGACTGAATACATGGTCCGCTGGTACCGCTGTCAAACGTCCCGTTAACACTACTAACATTACCCTTAATCACATAAACATCAACGAAACGACGAAACTTAAATATGTGCCATATTATCACTAGCAACCTCAAATACGATGATGATATTGAAATGAAGCGAAGGGTTCTAGTGGTTAAACGTATTTGTCTCGCAAGTGTTTTACTGTACGGAGGAGGTAAAAGTAACGCTTTTTAAAGCATACTATCACGGGAAACCTGTGTATCAAGCACACAAAAGAAATCGCTGGATACCTTAATAATCTAGTACAACAATGTCTTTAGGATAATGTTAAGTCTGTCGTTTTTTGTAGTGCATCAGGGATATTTGCGAAATACAAAACTGATGACCTCGAAGGCATCACTCGCAAAAAAGAAGCTCACTGACCAGCAGAGCGAGAAAAATTTCTAATAGCGTACTAAAGACATTAGCGGATCTATTCACATCACCTTTTTGGAGGTGTTTTGTGTGAAGAGTGACGATTACGGGGGCCTACCGTTTCTCCTAATAGTCGCTCTTAGTACATGCAAATGTAATTTTTACACCTTGTTAAATTAACTATTAACATAGTTTTAAGTCACTATACAAACCCATATGGATGTACGATACAAGTTTTTTCGAAATAAATACTATGCCATTGAAAACATAACTTGTACAAAAACCAAGTCTCGCAACTCAGTACTTCTACCGTAAAAAGTTCTGAGATCCATGTAATTAAGAAGTCGGTTAATTTATTCATTCCCTACATAAGGGTACTTCTGTCTTAAGTTATTACGTAATTAGCTAACCTAACAATATCTTATAGTGACCATATCAATATTAAAAATCTTTTATGATTTAAATAAATAGATTGACTTAGCAATCGCACTAAACAACTAATTGTATTCTAAATTTGAAGTTTCTATCTCTACTAGAAGTACCTTAGAGTTTCGGTGATCGGTCAATCAGTGAGTGCACTGTAAAAATTTCACTAGTTTTAATTCTTAAACTACTGGTTCAAATTGAATGAACTTTGAAATATAGCGTGTTTATACTATTGCTGTTGGGTTACTGAAAACTGAGGCTTCTAGTTTTTTCCACAATGAAGTTACAGGGGTCAAAAATGGTCTGAACTGCTTTAAGATAAGGGTGGTACGACCATGCCTCTTCTTTGCTCGACATGTCGGGGGTACTGCCGTTCTCCCAGAATTATTATTAATATAATCGTCCCCTTCAACGGGATAGGTTGTCATGATTAACGGACTGATAATGCTGATTAACGTGGTAATGAAAATGGTGCTTATGATGATGGGACGCGGCCCCTCGACAACGTTTTTCCTCATCGGTTATCGGTTCTTCGAGCTATATTGCCACTTTAGCTTATTAATCCGTTGGGCTCTGTCGGTTACTCCGGTTCTACTGCGAATATCCTTATTTTTAAGTTTATCACGCAGCGAAACTCCAAATATAGCCCTCTCATAGCTCGCTGAGCGACTTTGAGCTTCGTCATACGGCCAGTAGTGAACACGTTTCCGATCCATAGATCATCACTGGCAATACGCACTGGTTGTAAAATTTAGTTTTGAGGTTTTGAGCTATACCTGACGAGAAGATGTGTCGTAATTTCCTGGACGCTACTCAGCCAAGTTAAACCCGTCAATTGACCTCTCAGTTGAAGTTGAAGTTACCTAGTGGACTACTTGTCCTAATAAACATACTCGTAAACAACTTCGAGCTTAGTGCTCCTAACAACCACCGGCATAGGTGTTACATGGATATTACGGTCTCACCTATGCTTTTATTTTATTTTGTCCATGTTCATCTTTAGACCGATTTGTTGGGTGACACTTTTGAGGTCATTGAGCATAGCATTTAGATCCTGCAGCGATTCCGCTATAAGGACTATATCGTCGGCAAATCGAAGGTGAGTGATATACTCGCCATTAACGTTAACACCGTATCCTTTCCAGTTCAGTAGCTTGGAAACATCGTCCAATGCAGCGGTGAAAAGTTTCGGGAATATTATATCAACCCATCTTACACCTCTCTGCAGTTGGATAGGTTTTATACTCTGATTCTGTACTTGGATAGCCATCGCAGCACTACTGTACAAACACTTCATCACTTCAATATACCGACAATCAACTTGGCACCGCTGAAGGGACTGCAGCACCGCCCAACTTTCGACGAAATCAAAGGCTTTCTCATAGTCCACATACGCAATACAAAGTGGCAGATTGTACTCTTTGGCCTTCTGTACAATTTGCTGAAGGATTTGTATGTGGTCTATAGTGCTAAAGCCTTTCCGGAAACCGGCTTGCCGTCGAGTCTGCGTGCAAGACGATTCGTAATGACTCTCAAAAACAGCACGTAGACGCAGCTTAGAATGGAAATCAATGTGTTGTTCTTCAAGAAGGCGTTGTCGCCTTTCTTGAAGAACAAGACCACCGCACTTCTGCTCCACCATGGAGGACGGAATTGAAGTGCTTCTCAAGGAATTTAAGTATAGATTTTCCATCCGCTTTCAGAAGCTCCGCTGTCATTCCATCGTCGCCTGAGGACTAGCTGTTTTCAAGGTTCTGGGGGGCCATTTTGATTTTGCTCAGACTAACATTCGGGATATTATCGAAATAGTGTAGGTTAAGACTTGCTCTTACATCGTTACACTTT